GGCAGCTGCCGCAGGGTTTTTTTTTTCCACCCAAGGAAACCTGCGTTGAGGTGACGGATCCGAGCGAAAGGCTGTCGTTGGGTTTGGTGCGTTTAGCTGGGCTGCAGGTGTTTTTAGTGAAGTTTTGTGCCAAATTGGGAAGCACAAAACCGGAATTAAATGGCTTGTCGGAGGTACCAGAGTTTAAAACCATGAGGGTGAACAAAATCAATCTTTCTTTGAGATCAGGTTGGACGGCGCAAGGGAGGCTAACTCCCAAGTCCAACTCCTGATATCATTTAGTGTTTCGAGTGCTGCTCGGTAACGTGCTCCTCTATAAACTCCAAAACTGAGAAAATTCTCATGACCTTTTCCTGCTTGCCCAAGGCCTCGCTCAGTTTGAGTTTCCAGAGGGTGGATTTGCTGTCGTGCCCCGGCGGTGCTGACCCTCCTTCCCCCCACACAGGCAAAACACACCCAGGAAGGCAGCCAGACGTGGGGGGTGAACGGTGAGACCGGAGCCTTGGTCGACATGAAGGACCTGGGGATCTGGGAGCCTTTGGCCGTCAAACTGCAGACCTACAAAACCGCGGTGGAGGTAAAGGGGGGAGGTCGGGAACTCCAGAGCCTCGTGGCCTCTCTGGGGAGAGGGGAACGTTGCGGCTTGTGCGCTCGGGGGGAGGGGGTCAGCACCGCACACCCAGCGCTCACCAGCGCAGGAGGTGCCCTGAGGGCTGCAGCGCCCCGTGGGAGCCCACACTCAGGCTTTCCGGGGTTGATTTTTCTCATCCTGGGGGTAAAATTTGTCGCCTTTTTCTGCCAACTGCGCAGAGGGGTTGGGCTCGCAAGGACGAGCTGCTCCGAGCGACGGCCCGTGCCGTGCCGGGGAAAAGCCGTGCCGGGGAAATAAAGCACCAGCAACGTGCTGGGATCCAGTTGGTGGCCCTGGGGGGCTCCTGCCCTTGGGGTTGTCTGCGCGGCCCCGCAGGCGCTGCCCTCCCCCCGGTTACGAGATCCCGTCTCAGGTGTTCGCTCGCTGGTCCCGGATCAAAGGTCGGACAGAAACGAGGGGGGTCGGGTTTTCCGGAGCCCCTGGCTGCTCCCCCCTGCCTGGGCTGGGCCCCGTGTCCTCTCCGCTGGGCTGTGCCGAGAGAATCATTCAACCCATGGGTCTTTGGGGTGAAAACTGGGTAAATTGGGGTTTATTCTTCGTGACGAGCTCCCGCCTGCGGCCTTTC